CTTCTGACTATGATTTGGAAGATGGTGAATTTAGCAGGGAAGAGCTTGATTTCCAAGTTGTAAGCAATAAAAAACGATTCTCAGGTGTGAAGGGTAAGCGGGGCAAGGGCCCCAAAATCAACTAAATTTTATGTCGACGGACATTTTTTGCTGGAACATACGCGGATTAAATAAACTAAGTCACCGCAACGGAGTTCGTAAATGGTATCGGAAGCACTCTCCCCTTTTTGGTGCGCTTCTTGAGACTCACGTGAAGCATCTCAAGATGAATAAATTTACCTCAGAAATTTTTCCCGGTTGGTCTTCTGAAGGTAACTACGAATTTTCTCCTCTCGGTAAGATCTGGATCATCTGGCATCCGTCCCTGTTAGTCAGAATCATTTCCAAGTCTCTTCAGATGCTCACTGTCGAAGTGTCTTGGCCGTCTGTCCAGTCCAAGATCATCATTTCCGCTGTCTATGCGTCAAACGACGTCGATGAGCGCCTCAGCCTTTGGTCGGAGATCGAGGCTCTGTCTTCCTCTCAGGAGCTGGAAGACAAACCCTGGCTTGTCCTAGGGGATTTCAATCAGATAAGAGACCAGATTGAGCACTCTAAACCTCCTTCTCTCAACATGGATAAGAGGATTAGGGACTTCAATCAGTGTCTACAGTCTGCTAATATTGATGACTTAAACTTCCGGGGCAACACTTTTACGTGGTGGAACAAACAAAAGAATGACCCAATCGCCAAGAAGTTAGATCGTGCCTTGGTGAATGATGAATGGTACTTTGAATTTCCTTCCTCGGTTGCGCACTTTGGAAGCCCTCATTTTTCGGATCATGCTGTCATATCCATCACCATGGATCCCTTCATCTCCAAGGCAAAAAAACCTTTCAGGTTCTATAATTTCATTACTCAAAATCCTGATTTTTTGAACATGGTTGGCTCCTCATGGTTTTCCATGAATGTAACAGGTTCTGCAATGTTCAGGGTGGCGAGAAAGCTGAAACTTTTAAAGAAGTGTATCAAAGATTTTAGTAAGCTGAACTACTCCGGTATTGAAAAAAGAACAGCCCAGGCTCTGGAAAAGCTGGTCTCTACGCAAAATCTGATGCTGGCAAACCCAACAACTGTAAACGCCAATATGGAAATTCAGGCTATGCGGGAATGGGAGGTTTTATCAACTGTTGAGACTGCCTTCTTCTTTCAGAGATCCCGAATAAATTGGTTAGCTTTTGGTGATGGAAACTCCCGTTTGTTTCATAGATACGCGGCATCGAGACAAGCGGTAAACCATATTCATTTCCTCACAAACGACAGTGGCGATCGAATTGACTCTTTGGAGGAGATACAGGATCTTTGTGTCGGGTACTTCTCTGATTTGCTGGGTGGGGCAAACTCTCCTCCCATGTTTGTACAAAGTGACCTCGACATCCTGTTTGACTTCAAATGCTCGGATGATCAAGTTGCTAAATTCGAGAAAGGTTTCTCCGATGTTGATATTAGGGAGGCTTTCTTCTCTTTACCGAAGAACAAAACGGGAGGTCCTGATGGGTATTCTTCTGAATTTTTCACAGCGTCCTGGTCTGTGGTGGGTCCGGAAGTTACTGAAGCCATTCATGAGTTCTTTCGGTCAGGCTATCTTCTAAAACAATGGAATGCTGCTAATCTTGTGCTTATCCCTAAAATTCCAAATGCTGCGCGCCCCTCTGACTTTAGACCTATCTCTTGTTTAAACACCGTCTACAAAGTGATTGCGAAGCTGCTGGCTTCTAGGCTGAAAGAGATTCTCCCCCTTTTGATTTCTAAGTCCCAGTCGGCGTTCCTTCCGGGTCGTCTTCTTGCGGAAAACGTTCTCCTAGCTACTGACCTGGTTAATGGGTATAACTCTCAAAACATCTCCTCGAGAGGTATGTTAAAGGTGGACTTACGTAAGGCTTTCGATTGTGTAAGATGGGATTTCATTTTGGCTGCGCTAAGAGCTATTGCAGTACCGGAGAGTTACATTAATCTCATCTCTCAGTGCCTCACCACGGCTTCATTCTCCATCTCAATCAACGGTACCACCGGGGGTTTCTTCAAAAGTTCAAAAGGAATTAGACAAGGGGATCCTCTTTCCCCTTATCTCTTCGTGTTAGCTATGGAGTGCTTGTCAAGACTTCTTTTAGCACGCTATGAAGCGGGTAGCATTGCTTATCATCCACGAACAGAGAACTTAAAAATCTCTCATCTAATGTTTGCGGATGATGTGATGATATTTTTTGATGGTAGCAGCAACAGTCTACACGGAATCACTGAGTGTTTAGATGATTTTGCTTCCTGGTCCGGGCTTCATACGAACACTGCTAAGACTGAGTTATTCACTGCGGGGCTTGATCATTCACAATCGCTTGCAATCGCTCCCTACGGTTTCCCCACTGGTACTCTTCCCATCCGATACCTTGGTCTTCCCCTCATGAGCAGGAAGCTACAAATAGCTGAATATGCGCCGCTCATGATCAAAATCACTAGATGTTTTCAGGCTTGGTCTGTCAAGCTCCTGTCCTTCGCTGGGAGGCTACAATTGCTTAAGACGGTTATTTTTGGACTTATCAATTTTTGGGTCTCTGCGTTCATGTTACCTAAGGGTTGCGTGGAGGCCATTGAATCTCTATGTGGTAGATTCCTCTGGGCAGGGAATATCGATAAGAAAGGAATCGCTAAAATAGCTTGGTCCACTGTGTGTTTGCCTAAGCAGGAAGGTGGGTTGGGGATCAGAAGTATTTTTGTCTGGAACCAAGTTATGGGTTTAAAGCTTATATGGCTATTGCTCTCAAATTCAGAGTCGTTATGGTCTGATTGGCACAAGAGTATTCACTTGACTGGTAGTTCTTTCTGGTCCATTAATCCTTCTCAAACTGATTCCTGGGCCTGGAAGAGGATACTGAAGTTAAGGCCATTAGCTCTGCAATTTTGCAACTATATTATCGGTAATGGCGAGGAGACAAGTTTCTGGTACGATGTTTGGACCCCGTTTGGCCAGCTTATTAATCACATTGGTGATGGAGGCCCTAGAGCGTTAAGAGTTAGGAGGGAAGCGAAGGTCGCCGATGCTGCAAATGGTCTCATATGGTCGCTGCCACACCCTAGAACTGATCAGGAAATTGACCTCCATACTTATTTAACTACTATCCTTCTTCCTCTTTCTATTAATGTTGCTGATATATTCGAATGGAGAGCTGCTGATTGCCCCTTAAATGTTTTCAATACTCAGGCAACTTGGGAGGTGCTTAGACCGAGACAACCAACGCAGCAGTGGCATGATATTGTCTGGTTCAAAGGAGCCATTCCGAAGCTCGCTTTCACGATGTGGGTGGCAAACTACGACCGTCTTCCTACAAGGGCTCGCCTGGCCTCTTGGGGATTACCCATTACAGATATCTGCCCCCTCTGCTCCACGGCTCCTGAGACTAGAGACCATCTCTTTCTCTCCTGCATTTATAGCCTTGACATTTGGTCTCTAGTTTTCCATCGTTGTGGCCCCCCTGTGACTAGGTTGGCTGACTGGGCAGAGCTCCTTTCATGGATAAGAACGCCACAATCAAAGAGGAACCTTCTTCTTAGGAAATTGGTAACTCAAGAGGTTATATTTCACATTTGGAAACAGAGGAACAACCTGATACACAACAAGATCTCTCTGCCACCGGTGACTATCTTCAGAGCCATCGATAAGGAGCTGAGGAACATCATCTCTTCCAAGAGATCAAACAAGCTTTTTAACTCTCTTATGGTGTTGTGGTTAAGATAGCTGCTAATGCTTATCCTTTGTGTGGATGTTGATGATTCATATTGTTTTTTCTTTTTTTTTGCCATGATGAGTCAAACCTAAGATCTTACTTTTGTATAATCTTTCTTTCATTTATATGATATTTACAATTTAGCAAAAAAAAAAAAAAAAGTTGAGTTTGAATCTTTTTAAAGTCTTCATGTTCACACCACACGTTTGTGCTGAAAAGAGAGAGAGAGAGGGCTAGTTGGGTGTGTAGGAGGGTGTTTGAGGAATTTCAGCTTACGTCTGAACTTGAACTGGTCGTGTACGATGCTAAGAATCTAATCCGCATGACAGTGAGAGAGAGAGAGAGAGGACTTGCCACGTTTTCAACACTACCTAACAACTGTTTCTTTCTTCTCAACCTCTTCCCACTTGTGCCTTTTTTTTTTCCTTCTTCTCTTTGCTTTTTTTGTTGTTGTCTTCTCGACAAGATTGGTTCATTTACACTAAAGTATAAATTCATATGTTATTTTCTAACATTGATATCTAATCTTTACTGCAAAAAATTATAGACAAATATAGAACAAACAAGTAGGAATAGCCCAATCAGGGGGCTGTCAAATTTCAGTAGATACAGAAAGTGAATATTTACCATTTTGGTAAAAATATATCTGACTTTAATGAAGAGAGAGAGAGAGGCAATTCGTGGGGGATTTGATAAATATTAATAATAAAAATCTTCGATAAATTTAGAATTGAGATCCGACCCCAAAGGTTTCTTTTTAGCATACAAAATCCTTTGGGAAGAAAAGTTATATATCGACCCTCGTCGTCTCTCTAAAAGGGTCTTCTCCTTCGGTTATCTTTCTCAGATCTCCATCTCTCTCCCCTTTCACGGTATACCTTCTCTTCCTTATCGAAACTTTTGTGTGATGAACACTTAATTTGCTTTTTATTGTTTGCTGCTTATGATATTTATCTTCTCCTCTGAATCATTTGATCATCTCTCATCTGACTCTACCTTAAAGGTTTGATCTTTCTCTCTGTTTTGACTCTGCCTTGAAGGTTTCTCTGTTTTCTTGAAGGTTTCTCTGTTTTTTTATGTAATACTGAATCTGCTTTTCGTGTGATCTTGTCTTTAACATTGAACAAGTTGATTACTTTTTATGAATTAGATCCTTAAAGTTGAATCCTTTACTTTGGATCCGTTACATATTGATGTTTTTCATTCTCTGGCGTCAGGATCCTCTGTTTTTTTATTGAGAAGATGGGTGTTGAGGTTGTAAACTCCGGTGGATTTGAGGTTGCTCCGGCTCCTTTCGAAGGCAAACCCGAGACTAACGGGAAGGTGGAAGGAAACAAAGTCTCCATCAAGTTTGGTTCACACGGTGAGCAGCCGCCAAAGAAAGCTGCTGAAGAGAGTAGTAACAAGATCCCTTCTGATGTACCAAAAGATGCAGCAGAAGAGTGGCCTGCTGCTAAGCAGATCCACTCTTTCTACTTTGTTAAGTACCGTCATTTGGAGGATCCCAAGATCAAAGCTAAGCTTGAGGTAGCTGATAAGGAGCTTGCGAAGTTGAACAAGGCTCGGCGTGCAGTTGTTGAAGAGTTGATAGCTAAGAAGGTAAAGTGTTCTTGGTATTGCAGCGTATACTTTTTTTCAGGGATTATTATCTTTTTGTAATGATGTGGAAGTTTCTTTTGATGCATTTAGGCGGAGAAAACCAAGCTATTTGAAATGTTGGACCCGTTGAAGTCAGAGCGTCAAGGGTTCAACAACAAGTTTGATGAGAAAAAGAAAGAGATGGAACCATTGCAGCAAGCACTTGGGAAGCTAAAGGGTGGTGGTGGGAGTTCCCGTGGGCCTGTTATCTGTTCGTCTCAGGAAGAGCTGAACAGTATGGTAATAATCTATACTTGTTAACTTGATACTCCTGAGACCTTTTGTTGCTTGATTTTCATTTGGTTTGGGGTTGTTGGAAAATGTAGATATACAGCTATCAGTATCGGATTCAACATGAAAGCATTCCGTTGACCGAGGAGAAGCAGCTTCTTAAAGAGATCAGGCTGCTTGAAGGGACAAGAGATAAGGTCATTGCTAATGAGGCTATGAGAGCCAAGATCAAAGAAGCTATGGGTCATAAAGATGATATTCAAGATCAAGTTAAGGTAAGAGGAGTCATGGTTTGGTTTGGAGTGTACTCTGGCTTCTTGTTAAGTTTCATATGTGATGCTTTTTATTGCAGTCAATGGGTGCTGGTTTGGATGGAGTGAAGAAAGAGAGACAAGCAATTTCAGCAAGGATTAATGAGCTGGGTGAGAAGGTGAAAGCAACTAAAGATGAGATTCAGGTCCTTGAGAATGAGCTCAACACTGTTACAGAAAAGAGGGATAAAGTTTATTCAAACATTTGTGAGCTTAGGAAGCAAAGAGATGAGACGGTACAAAACACATATATACTTTAGAGCATGTTCTTGAAATGGAGTGCAAAAACTGAAATACTCTTTTGTTTTGTTTATACAGAACTCAGGTCTTTACCAAGGCCGTACTGTGTTGAAAAAAGCCAGAGAGTTGGCTGCACAAAAGAAGATAGATGAGCTTGAGGCGCTCTCCAATGCAGAGGTTGAGAAGTTTGTCTCTCTCTGGTGCAGTAAGAAGAATTTCAGGGAAGATTATGAGAAGAGAATCTTGGGGTCACTTGATGCTAGGCAGATGAGCCGAGATGGACGGATGAGGAACCCTGAAGAGAAGCCTCTTGTTGCTCCAGAGCCACCAGCAGCCAAGGCAGCGCCTTCTGCAACAGAGGTTGCCCCTAAAGCTAAGGCAAAGCAGCAGCCAAAGGAGGAACCAGTTTCTGCACCTAAACCAGACGCTGCTGATCAGAAGACTGAGAAGGCTGAGAAAGCTAAAGATGCAGTGAAGGTAAAGAACGTTGTTGTTGATGATGAAGAGGAAGAAGAAGAAGTATATGGTCTTGGAAAGCCGCAGAAAGAGGAGGAGAAGGTAGATGAAGCTACGATGAAAGAGATGAGAAAGCAAGAGGAGATTGCCAAAGCCAAGCTAGCCATGGAAAGGAAAAAGAAGCAGGCAGAGAAAGCTGCTGCTAAAGCTGCCATAAGAGCTCAAAAGGAAGCTGAGAAGAAAGAACAAAAGGTAGTTACTTCTTCTTCTTCTGTATCATATCAATGCTCTTTGCCTTTTCTCTTTTCCATTCTAATAATTTTCATCTTCTTGTGTGTTGCAGGAGCGAGAGAAGGCGGCCAAGAAGAAGACAGGAGGCAGCAACCCATACGAGGCCATCTCTGAGGATGTTCCAGAAGCTTCTGAGGCTGAAAAGGAGGAGACTGAAGCTGAAGCTCCGGTTGTGGAGAAACCACAGAAGGAAAAAGTCTTGAAGGCGAAACCAGTAAGGAACAGAATCCGCAGTAGAGGAGGACCAGAAACACTCCCGAGGCCAATCCTCAAGCGTAAGAAGCAGACTAATTACTGGGTTTGGGCTGCTCCAGCTGCTCTTGTGGTACTGATCCTTCTTGTCTTGGGTTACTACTACGTTCTCTAGATCAAGGGAGGGCTGCGTTGCTGTAGTTTGGGATCTTTTAAAGCTTCTTTTGAGGATGAGACTCTTAAAAACGTATGTCTCATTTACATACAGGAGTAGAGACTCTTCCCTTTGAAATACTTTTTATATTTCACTTTCTTTGTTGTTTTCTCTTCTGTTGTTGAGGCTTTTAACTTTGAAGTAAGAAAACTCTTTTTGTTACATCTTATAGCTGTGATAGTGTTCTCTAGTTTTGATATATTCATTTGTCTTTCCACTCTGCTAGCATATACCAAAAGATCATAGAGTTCTTGAATTTTGATCACAACCTTTTTGCTTCTTGTTCCACCTTTGGAGAGTAATCACTTTTCTTTTCAAACTGACACGCTGATCATAGTTCGGACAAGAACTAGTCATTGCTTAGGACACGTGAGAAGTGTTAATGATGCCACGTGTATTTACCTCGACACTAAATCTATCCTCAGGCTGCGTATATATCAGAAAGGGAGTGGGAGAGATAGAGATTCATCTCAATGGCGGCTATGTTTTTAGCAAAGAGAGGAGCCATAAACATAAACAGGGTTTACAACAAGATTGCTCCATCTTTTACTGATGGAGGAGTCATTACCATCACTACCCCTTCTTACTTCTCATCCAACGTAAGTTTCTTTTGCTTTCTTTTGAAGACATCTTGGATAAGCTGATGTATATAAAGAAGATCAAATAAAGAATAATGGAAGTTTTGAAATGGTGATATCACTTGGTTCTTCCAGGGAAATGACGGAAGAGAGAAGTCAAAGCAAGAGGGAATGGGAACAACTACAGATGGTAAGGCTCCGAATGTGACGATGAGTCATGCAGCTGACACATCCAAAGCTGAGTTGAAACGAGCAGTAGATGTAGCAAACGAGGAGAGTGGAGACGCTAACAAGCAGAAGAGTGAAGAGAATGATGAAGGAGGTGAAGAGGAAGTAGCTGTGGGTGACGATGGAACTGTTGAAGGCCAAAACCAGTCATCAGGCTGAGAATATTACCACATAGACACGCATCAAGTTGTACTGAGAAAATGTACCTGTGTTTGGGTATGTAAAAGTATTTGATGTTGTCTTAACTCTAAGTAAAATCTCTATATTCTCACGTATAAGTGTATAACTTGTTTAATCCCTTCTTATCAGCAGTTCAAACATGTTTTATATTTCTTAAATCTATTTGTTTTGGCCAAGTATTTACGTCAATTTGTCTATAATACGTTTGTGTGATCCATGACAAAAAAAAAGAATTTCATAGTCATAGAATTTACTAGAGGCGGGCACAACACAATGAGCATGGCATTGACAATACGACAGAGATGAACTAACGAATCATAAGGTGAGCAACACAACACATGGATTTTGATATTTGGAAATGAAGAATCAAAGAATCACAAGAGGTGCCTCATCGTTTTTGGCAGGTGTGGTGTCTTGTGTTGGTGGCTCAGTCTCAATAGGAGCTGTCTCATCTGCCTTCACAGCTTCTGGTGTTGGCTCGGCCTTGGTTGCCTCAGAGGATTCCTCTTTTGTCTCACCCTCTTCGCTAGACTCTTCTTTCTTCTCCTGTTGGATCAAACGTATCAGTAAAGATAGTTTCACCTTTAATATGGAGTTTGTTATTCTTGAAAAGCTATGGTTAGTTATATAATGACAAAACCTTATATAATCAGATAAATATACCTGAGTGGATGTGGTATCTGTCTCTGTCGTTACATTCGTTGACTCAACAACATCATTGTCACTTGGGACAGAACCTTCAACGATGTCAGATTCCTTAGGTACGCTCGCACAGCCTCCCATGTTAATTTTTATTGAAAAGAAAAAACGGAATTACAATGGGAAGAGCTGTGGCGCAAAAAGGATAGATTAGGAGAGAAATGAGACAAAGATGATTTGAAGAGGCCAAAACTAATGTTGTTGTTTCTATATATATGATTGGAGGCTGAGAAAATAGAGGAGAGGCCTGTCAAGAGACGTATGCTATTTCAGGTAAATTTTTCGTCAAGTTTGAGATTTCAATAAGTCAACAATGACACCTTCAAATCTCTGTCACGTCCTATCTATCCGGAGAATATTAGCTGCTCCAACGTACTTTTTGGTCAAGTTTGAGATTTCAATAAGTCATGCATGAGATTTATTGTTGTGTGGTTATTTGTATTAACAAACGAAGTTCTTACACCATATTAGATTAACAAAGATATTGATCCAAGTCTTCTACATATTGATGATGATTCTTTAAAATATTGTGGTGAGATCTCAAAACAAGTTGAAAGAAACTTATTATTCAACATCATCTCCACAAGGCTGCCTTTTGTTGTTAAATACCCATATCTGTGAGTTATTTGAAAAGAGATAAGGAGGAGATACAAAATCTAATGAGATCTCAAGAAAGAAACCAGAGTTCTATCAAACACCTTAAATTGAATTTAGAGGCTATACTCTTCAAAGACTTAAGACAAATCAACCAAGAAAATATGTTCAGTTGCAATAGAAATGATAACAGTATCCATCTCATCTTCCCTCTATTTATTGCTACTGCTGCTTGTACTCTTCTTCTTCAGTAAGTTTCCAAACTTCCGGAGCAGAGGTTTCTTCTTTTTCTGCTCTAATTCCTTTGCGTGCAGACTTCCAGAATGTTCAATGTGTTCAGCTGAGGACAAGCCATTGCTTAACTGATCAAAGTTCTCACTGCCTTCTGCTTTTGATTCCTCTTCCTCTTCAGCAAACTCATGATCTGACTCTCTCTCTGAAGAAGCTTCTCTCTTTTCTATATGGTAGCCTTCCCACGTCTTCGATCCCCCTTCCATGGAGTCTTTCTCCTTTTCTCCTTCATTTTTGTGAGCTAGCAAATGGATTGGTGTGTCACCATTCAAATGGTTATCAACGGCTTCAGCTGGACTTTCTTGTACCTTTTGTTCTCCTGCACTGTGTTTGCCGTTTTCATCTGGTTTCTCTTGCGTGGAAGATGCTTTTTCTAGCAACTTTGATGACTCTTCGATCTTCTCAAGCGCGGAAGCCTCCCTGGCCTTCAGCTCAACGTTATCATGTATTACAGCTTGCAACTCGGCTTCTTTGTCAAGCAAGCTCTCTTTCAACTTTGACAACTCCTCTATCTTCTTTGCAGCTGAAGCTTCCTGAACCCTAAGCTCTTGATTTTCTTGATGAATTCTTTGGAATTCGTTTTCCTTCTCAAGCCAACTCTGCTCGAGATGTAGCAACTCATCAATCTTCTTTACAGATGTTTCCTCTTTGGCTTTGAGCTCCTCGTTCTCATGGAAAACAACCAGCAACTCGTTCTCTTTATCAAGTAAACTCTGTTTAAGGTTTGTCAACTCTTCAATCTTCTGAACTAATGATGCAGCATTGGCCTTGAGCGTCTCATTCTCGACAATGGCAGTCTTCAGCTCATTTTCTTTATCAACCAAACTTTGTTTAAGATCAGACAACTCCTCTATTGCCTTGAGCGATGAAGCCTCTTTGGATTTGAGCTCTTCGTTTTCGCAAACAACATTGTGTAACTCGCTCTCTTTCACGAGCAAGCTTTTGTTTAGATTTGATAGCTCTTCAATCTTCTTTTGGGATAGAGAGTCCTTGGCTTTAAGATCCTCAATCTCACGAACCATACCATCAAGCTCAGTTTCTTTATCAAGAAGACTCTCTTGCAGCTTTGCTAACTCTTCGATCTTCTTGAGATATGCAGCCTCTCTTTCTCTAAGCTCTTCATTTTCTTGAGTGGTAATATGAAGCTTGATTTCTCTAGCAGCAACGTTTTCAGATACTTTTGACAACTCTTCAAGCTTCTTACTGTGAGAAGACTCCCTTTCTTTTAACTCTTCATTTTCCTGAACAGCGGACTGTAGTTTGGCTTCTTTCTCAGCTAATAGCTCATTTGGCAATGACAACTCTTCGATCTTCTTGATGTAAACAGCCTCCTTTTCTTTGAGCACTGCAATTTCTTGAATGGTGTTCTGCAGTTTGGTTTCTTTGTCAGCCAATCTCTCGTTCACTGCTGACAACTCTTCAATCTTCTTGAGACAAGCAATCTCTGTTCTTTTAAGCTCCTCAGCTTCTTGAACAATGCTCAACAGTTTGGTTTCTTTGTCAACTAAGCTCACCTTGGCTGCTGATAACTCTTCAATCTTCTTGAGATAATCAAGCTCCCTCCCTCTGAGCTCCTCAGCTTCTTGAACAATGCTCTGCAGTTTGGTTTCTTTGTCAACTAAGCTCGCTTTCACCGCTGACAACTCTTCAATCCTCTTGAGATAATCAAGCTCCCTACCTTTGAGTTCATCTGCTTCTTGAACAATGCTCAACAGTTTGGTTTCTTTGTCAACCAAACTCACATTCGCTGTCGACAACTCTTCAATCTTTTTGAGATAATCAAGCTCCCTCCCTCTGAGCTCCTCAGCTTCTTGAACAATGCTCAACAGTTTGGTTTCTTTGTCAAGCAAGCTCACATTCGCCTCTGACAATTCTTCAATCTTCTTGAGGTAATCAACCTCTCTCCCTCTAAGCTCTTCAGCTTCTTGAACAATGCTCAACAGTTTAGTTTCTTTGTCAACCAAACTCACATTGACTGCTGACAGCTCTTCAATCTTCTTGAGATACTCAAGCTCCCTCCCTCTAAGCTCCTCCGCTTCTTGAATAATGCTCAACAGTTTGGCTTCTTTGTCAGCCAAGCTAGCATTCGCCGCTGACAACTCTTCAATCTTCCTACCTCTGAGCTCCTCAGCTTCTTGTATAAAGCTCTGCAGTTTTGTTTCTTTATCTACCAAGCTTTCATTCACCTTTGACAACTCATCTATTTTCGCGAGAGAAGCAACCTCCATTTCTCTGAGCTTTTTATTCTCTGCAGCAGCGCTCTTTACTTCGTTTTCTTTCTCCAACAAACTTTCTTTAAGTTCCACACTTTCAGCTTCCGCTTGTCCAACTCTTTCCTGCATATCCTTAAGCTCCTCCTCAAGTTTCTTAAGATTCCTTTTCGTATTGGCTTCTTCTTCTTTTGCTGCCTTCACCTCATTTTCCTTGAGATTAAGCAAACTCTCCACCTTGCTAAGTTCTCCCTGCACAGAGAACGTTTCATCTTCCGATTTCTTCACACAAGCCATAAAATGAAGTTCTCGCTGTTCCCACTCAGTCTTCGAACTGGCAATCTCATCTTGAGTCTTTTCTAAACTAAGTTTCAAACTATCAATTTCGTTTCTTGCTTCTTCAAGCATACACTCATACTTCTCATTCGTCTCTTTAGCAGCCAACTTCAGACTCTCAATCTGAGTTCCACAAAGTTCAAGCTCTGCTTGACATGTCAAGAGCCTCTCCTTAGCTTCCCTTGCTTCCACAGATACTTCCTGCAACTCCAAACTTAAGCTTTCCATAGCTTTCTTGGTTTCCTCTTCTTCCTTCTTAAAGTTCTCCAACTCTGTCACAAGTTTCGTCTTTTCATTCAATAGGTTATGGATATGTAATGTTGTAGTCTTTTCATTCTCCAAAGCCATAGCCTTTTCTTCATGTGCAGTTGCGAGGTCAGATTTGACTGACTCAACAAGCTTTTCAAGCCTAGAAGTTTCTTTGCAAACCTGACGTTGAGATTCCTCAAGATCTTTTTCCTGCCTTGCAATCTTCGTCACCATGGACTCAATACTTTCTTTCAACGCAGCATTGTCCAACTCTGCCTCATGAAGCGCATCACTCTTTTCCCCCAGCTGCTTCTTAGCTGAGTCTAAAGACTCTGAAGCAGATGTCTTCAACTTATTTGATTCTGCAGCTTGTTTTTCAAGTTCTTCAACCTTGTTCTTCAACTCAGCTGCTAAGGCATTAGCACAAGATTCAACAATTTTAGCAGCTTCGAGGTCCACATGGAGCTGCTCAATGGACTCTTCTTGACCCTTCACCTTATTCTCTAAGACGCTAACATTCTCAAGTTCCCTTCTCAACATCTCAATCTCGTATTTCAGTTTAGACACAACTTCATCGCCTTCAACAGCCTTCCTTTGTTCCTCAGAACTAACCAATGCCTTTAACTGGCTTAACTCAGAAGAAAGAATCTCCACCTTCTCTGCCTGCATCTCAGCAATCTTGGTAGCTTCCTCTGCGTGACTTAGCGCCTTGTTTTTAGCGTCAGCAGTCAAGGCCAACTCTTGTTGAACCCTGTGGAGCTCTTCAGTGGTGGAGAGAAGAGCTGAGATGTCCAAAGCATGCTGGCTTCTTATAGACTCAACCTCTTTCTTCCAAGAGATATCCTTTTCTCGAACCGCCGCTTCAATCTCGGCACCACTCTCCTGAGCTGCCAATGCTTCTTTAAGTTTCTCATTAGCTTCTTTGTTTAGTTTCTCACAACAGGTAAGATCCTCAAGAGCTTTATCTTTATCTTTCTTTAGCACTGCTATTTGCTCATTAGCTTTCCTCAAATCCTCCTGAATCTGTTTCAGTTGTGCCTGTAGCTCAGGTCCTTTCCCTAACCGTGACTGAGACTTCTGAAATGCCATTAAAAAACTTATGATCAGTCTCTCATTACAATATAGTCTTATGAATCAAAACAAGAGATAGCTCCAACTTGGTTTTGACTTGCCTCGGAGGGAGGAGTAGGAACTCTTGCAGTCCGACGATCAGGAGTAAGCTTGGAGTTAGCAGATTGTGGGGAACGGTCTAGTGAGAGACGGGTGCTAGACGGTGAACTGCCATCAGATTTAGTCACTGATGATTTAGTCAGTCTTTGTGGTGGTGGAGATGGTTTACTACGAGGAGTCTCCATTAAACCAGTTCTACAACAAGAGAAAAGGTATTAAGTACAATGTCACAATCAATAATGAAACAAACAAATCACCATTTCCATTTTTCTATGCATCTAAGTGAAACAAGTTTCCACCTTCATGGTTTGTATTGCTAGGAATAATGATCCATCTTAGTTTAGAGATGTAGTTATTACTTAATCAACTTCTAAAATGAATCCAAATACACATTTTTCCACAGTACATGGAATGATCTGACAAAGTGAATAATTTCAGGAGAAAATGACCCACATATTGAATACAACAGACACAACTACATTTTCCGACAAAGTAAACAGAAGACAGCATCTCAGATCCAATTGTCTTGTGAAGTTAAAACTAGTTTGGTTCTGTAACGAAAATAAAAACAAAAAGAAGGAAAGTTCCCCACTTGGTTCTGGATGCCATTGTTGTTGTTGCCGAAGAAGAACTTCAAAAATATAAACGCAGATTAAAAGCAAAAGAGCAGAAGAAGAGAAAAAAAGAAATGTTGGGGCAGCTAAATCTCTGGCATTGCTAATTAGAGAGAGAGAGAGACTAAACAGAAAGACCAGATCGGTTCTGGTCTGTTCTTCACTTGGGTCTGATTACTTCTCCACAAAGTCTTCAACTTTTTATTTTAGCAAAATTATTGGTAATGGGCAGAGTGGTCACCCTCTCTCTCTATCTCTAGTCTTTTTCTTCTTTCATTTTCCCGGTTTAATTTTTTTCAATTAAAAAGAAAACAAGACAATATGTTGGTTATGAAATGACAGAAAGGACCATGTGTGGAGTTTTGCCTGTATTAAGAGAATGTATAATGAAATAATAACAACAATAAAGTGGTGTGAGTGTGGACCTATAACAAATGTGAATGGACTTATGCTCATAATGTGTGTAGAGATGGAAGAAAAATCTAAAATCTCCAGCGATCTGATTTTACAAGTTTAAGATCTATTTTGAGTTATCATGTGGGCTGCATGTGCCTTTTCAATCATTTATTTTTATTTGTATAAATACAATAATTCAGTCGTACAACTCAGTTTTATTCTCAAATGCAATCATTTATTAGTGTGAAATGTTGGTATTTTGTGCATATCATTTAGAGGCAATTCGGCTGGAGTGGGGTTTTGTGATGAAATGGTGTGTTGATATTATTTTGTTTGGCAAATACAGTTATGGCATTGAAAACCAGTTAAACCGGTTCTGGTTTTGGTTTATATTGATTTCGGTTTGAATTTGATGTTCTTAGAATTTCTCTTAAAGATAGTATCCTTCATCGGTGAAATTAGATCGCACGTCATATTGTTGTTCGTTAAAGTTTTGTTCGTTTGCTTTATCGTCTTACTAGGTGTTTTGCCCGCACTTGCGGGCTTAATAATTTTACTAATATCTATAAACAAATATATAATCAATTTAAATAATTTATAATAAATTATTATTCATACACTCAAAATGATTGATAATAACCTAAACAAATTCTTTCTATATCTAAAAATTTTCATCATCATATAAAAAATTTTTATTACACAAATTAAATGTGAAAATTATATTTAGTAATAAATTAATATGTTTTTTAGACATAACAAAAAAAGAAGTATAATAAAATTATCTTTAGTAATATTTTGGATAACACAATATAAATTATCTATACATAAATTCTTGCGAATTGATTTTTACATAATTAAATATATATTGACAAACGTAACTATTTTTCAAGGTTAATAAAGATTTTATAACACAATATAAAAATTTAGATAAGGATAGTTATCAAATTCATGAAATTCGTTTTTAATTTAGAATTTATTATATATTAACAAATATAATTATTTTTCAAGGTTGATAAACATAATATTTTTTTTAAAAAAATAAGGATAATTATCAAATAATTGAAATTCGTTTTTAATTTATAATTAATTATATATTAACAAATATAATTATTTTCAAGATTAATAAAGACTTTATAACCCAATATAAAATAGTTTTAGATAAAGATAAATCTAAATTCCTTAAAATTCATTTTTTTATTTATGTTTAATTATTGATCGAAAATTTTAATTATTCATTAAGGGTATAAACGATATTAACCACTCTAACTTTTAACGTGAGAGCTCCGCTGCGAAAAATCACTTCGCAAATAATAATATAGATCTTAGATGAAATGTAGCTTTCTGATGATTGGAAATATTTGTATACATATATTGAGAATAAACTATATACTAAAAATGGTGCACACAACAAATATTCCAATGTTACAACTAAACACAAACACTACTACAGGAAACAATGAGCTAGAGAGATTTGACCAAGATCCAACATCGGTTCGAACACCAGAACTGCTGAGTTGGAAGTCATGTGACCTAGCCAGCTCCACCGTGTATTGAACCCTAAACCATGTTTCCTTTTTGACCAACCACAATGGCTAGCCTACAATCTTAGCAGCCAAGTGTCACATTCCCTTCATGTCAGTGACACTTCTCAAGATACCGTATAAGATCCTGAAGCATGTGCATCTCCAGCACCACAAGTATCAACTGCCACGCACGGAGATGGAGGAACGTATATGTTGGAATTGTGAAAGTTTATATCCAATTCTTATTCTTTTAAACGATGTAAAAGAAAGTGTAGGCTCATACTATTAGAGTTAGACTTCTCTTTATATATTAGACACTTCTTTTTTAATTCTCTAATTTAAGACTTAGTTTGTTATCTCACATTCTCCCACTCAAACTAAAGATCACATTCATCTCGTGTCCCGCAACTAATTTCCAAGATCTTTTGACTTGATCTCTGCCACATACACCTCTCATTCCTAATTCAAAGGGTCTCATTCATATCTCGAATGGTATTTTAGTCTTTTTGCAGATTTTTTGTCAACCGCTCTGATATCAATTGTTGGAATTGTAAAAGATCATATCCAACTCTATATTATCAACGATATTGTCCACTTTAGGTCTAATAGACAAGTTCGCATGAATTTATTTTTGATTTCCTTTTCAGAAGGTCCCGTACAATTAAAGTTAAATTTCTCTTTAAATATTAGACATTCATTGTCTAATTCTCCAGTGTGAGACTTAGTTTGTTATCTCATAGTATATGCATCCTCTTACTACAATGTAAGACCCCTTGATTCCATTAATTGGTTACCGAAACAAACGGAACAAAGTGGCTTAAGTAACAATGATGTCTTCACTGATGAACAAAATGATTAGTATCAATGATATTCTAGCAACTCCGGCATGCAGAGACTACCACAGTCCAAACATGGTTGGATTCAACGGATTTCTATTCGTGTGGCTAGACAAAGTATTTTTAGGTAATATTTTGGGCTGTTAAAGCAACTGGGCTTCCGACCCCCTCTAAACACTACCAAATTATAATTGGCTTTTCCTTTTCTTTCTTTGTTTAACTTTAAACAGAAAGCCTCTGTGTTACAAAAAAAAAAAAAAAAAAAAAAAAAAAAAAAAAA